GTTTGAGGAAATGGGAAAAATAAGATTCATGGTGCAGTCACGTACTTCCTGGTCACAAAGCGTTCTGTAAATGTGCATATTATGGGAAAATCATTCATCATTAAATGTGGTTTTAACATTACTTTTATAAAGTTTGAAGTCCGTGCTGTCCAATCCAGCTCACTGTTTTTTACAGAAGCCCTGTGAAAGCATCACAGCTTTGCCGATCTCAGAGTGTTAAAAGAAAAAAAATTCCTGTATCCACATCGTGATCCGGAACATCACCAAAATTTAAAGGTATGTTCCTTGGCCCAGTGTCCACATGTGGTAAAAATGTCATGACAATCCGTCCACAAGTTTTTGAGTTTGTCGTTCTGTTTGTGGACAACATGACAGACAGACAGACAGACATACGCGACCGAAAACATTACCTCGCGGAGGTGATTACATACAGCTCTTAGCTCAGCAGCAGGAACCAGTAGGATATGTTCAGTTTGAAGAGCCAGGAAGTGGTAAAACTCAGACCAGGGACTTGGAGCAAATATGTTGTTCTGACTGTTTTTGTCTAATTTTTAAAATCTGTTTGCTTCGTCCCAACTTTCTTCAACAAACTATCTGTGAAGCTGCATGTTTACATATTCTTCATGATCACCTCTGATTCCACAACTAAAACTACTAGGAAGTAAAAATTTGTGATTACGAAAGAAAATATGATAAAAATGAGACAATTTTTAGAAAGGAAAATCTGGTGAAGAGACAGAAAAACATTTTTATCATTCATAGCACACTCGGTAAACAAAAACAATGTTTGACTGAGAAAGTTGTGATGATGTAAACATTTAGTTTGTTTGAACGGGATGATGTTAAAAATGTTTTATCTTGGCTGTCGGAGGCAAAGGCAGAGTGATCGTGCTTTTCTCTCTGTCTGTATATTTGTCTTTCCTGTGAGACAAAGTAATGAACCACTGAGTGTATTTTAATTACACTTTAGAATGAAAAACTACTGTTCTAAATAAGCTCGGGCTCAGGTTGTGATGCACACAGATCTTGTTTGTTGTTTTTGTTTTTCGTGGATGCAGATGCCTGCGAGCCTTGTATGAAAAATAAGGATCCTATGTGTCTTACATGAAATRCTTGAATCATTTGTAACGGTATGAACTTTCTTGGGAAAGTGATTATCTGCAATTAAAACTGAATTTTCTCCTGCTGAGACAAAACTGTCTGTTTTCGTTTTCTACATTCAGGCTGTGTCTCGTTTTGTTTCATAAAAACTGAAAAAAGATGAAGTTTTCATTTGTCAGTAAAGCTCCTTTTAATCATTTCAAACAAATAAAACTCTGAAGAAATAAGTTTTGAACCTATAATCATGTCTTGAGAGACAGGTGATTTTATTTACGACTCTGCTCATTATGCAGCAATTGTAAAATTAGTTGCGAAATGTGAAAAAGTTTGATATTAGGAATGCTAACTATTAATCAACTTACGATTAATTGTCAAATAATGGTTTATTAGATTAAAATTTCTTCCATTTGATTAATTGAAAACATCAGTTTAAACCTTATTTCGGTGTAGTTTTGCCTTCATCCAGCAAAGGGCGCTGCTACTCTACTCCGGCCCTGTTAAACTGGGCAGGAAGCCGTCTCGATGTGGGCGGGATCGCAAATGCGTGGGTCTTATTTAATTTTATTTGYGACACAACAATAATAATGGACTACACCAAACTCGAAGGAAAAGTACAGAAGGCTGTACCGGACCATCAAGCAGTATGACGCTTAAGACAAGAGAGCAGGATGATAGAACGGTAAGCTAACTGTGGCTAACGTTAGCTTCCTCTTGTTGAGTTTAACTCCGTGTGAAAGAACAAAAAAAAGTTACAGTCGCTACCAATATTTAACTTGAAGTTAATCTAATCTGTGTGACATAACCTGGCCAGTAAACCAGTCTACTGAACAGTAACTGACGTCAGATCATGCTGTGTAGCCCAGCTAAGATGGAACCAGAGGRAATGTAAACAAACAAACAAAYAAACAATTKCCAGTACTCATTAGTATCTCACGTCTTTCAGGGATATTTTATTACATTCCTAGTTTGTTGAATTAATCTTTATCTTAAAATATTACCCTGTGTTTAAATTATAGTTTTTCATTTTAAGGGTGGATTAAGTGTTTTACTTATTTCATTTTTTTTCTTTTTTTTTCCAACTAGCAACTTAACAGATTCCTGTTTTGTTATATTTTATAAATATGTCCTAATAATAATGTGAGAGAAATCCACATTTCTCTGTTCATTCAGTCAGTGTTTACTCACACAGCTGGCACAATGAATTGTTAAAATAATACTTTACTTTTTTTTAATTTAGTGTGTAAAAAAATAGCCCTTCATGTTATAGAAAGAGAATTGTCAGGTTTTCAGGAAAATGGCCGCTTATCAATTAATCGTTACTCGATCGATAAGATCAATCGACTATAGATTGATCCATTAATNATAATAATGTGAGAGAAATCCACATTTCTCTGTTCATTCAGTCAGTGTTTACTCACACAGCTGGCACAATGAATTGTTAAAATAATACTTTACCTTTTTTTATTTAGTGTGTAAAAAAATAGCCCTTCATGTTATAGAAAGAGAATTGTCAGGTTTTCAGGAAAATGGCCGCTTATCAATTAATCGCTACTCGATCGATAAGATCAATCAACTATAGATTGATCCATTAATTGATAACTTGCATCCCTAGTTGATATGTTTATTTCTAACTGTTGGTGCATGTGATATTTGTGTTTGTAAAACCACCTACCTGCACACCTGAAGCTCTGAGCAGTGAGCCCCTTCTCCACAGCCAGACAGGTGAGAATGCTGAGGAAACTGGTTGTGACTGACTGCCGTTTGGCTCTCTGGGTCTCCCTCTGTCTCCTGTCCCTCGTAGGTTTGGATCTCAGCAGCACTCCTTGAAGGCCTTCTCCTGATTCTCTCGTCTTTTCTCCTGCAGGTCTCTGTGCTTCGATTGCTTCCTGAAGAGCCTTCACCCACTCCTGCATCTTCAGGTGATCGTTGGCCCGAAGTCTGAGCACCTCTTTGGAGAAAACGACCTGGAAAACTTTTCCTTTATCTACCCGTGACTCTTCGTTCTCGGATTTAAAATCATGCTGCACAGCCAAGCAGGATGCCAAGGAGTGCTGGAGGACAGGTGGAGAGACAGATGCACTATCTTCWGTGGGAAAGGCCTGGAGGGAAGACCTCGTTAGGATAAAGGTGAAGGACCGCCAGTTGTTCTGATCCATCAGCAAGTGAAGCTGTCCAGTTTTGAGGATTTCTTGGCAGCTTTGAGTAAACAAAGGGAGAGTGGTGGGTCTGCTCAGGACTACAGAATCAGACTGAAGACAGAGTGATGCCTCAGCTGAGGTCGAGGTGTCGCTGTCGCCATCCGGTCTAGTGTCGAGCCCAGATGGAGAAGGTGAAGAGGAGGGTGACATGGGTGTGGGAAAACTGGCGACGTGTTGGTTTTTCACCTGGTTCTGATGCCTTACAGGTTTGGCAGCCTGAACCTTCTCCCACATCAACCGTCTCCACTCCATGGCCTCCCATTGGCTGGCCGCCCTCAGCTGGAGGCGCGTGCTGTTGAAGAACACGGCCTGGAGGGTGCGCTGGTCTCCAGGCTGGCTGATCTGACCGGACTGGCTGCAGGGTGCTGGTGAGACGACGCTCTGGCAGTGCGACAGGGAGAAGGCGGTGCCCAGCTGCCGGTTGGCACTGCTGTCCAGGGTGTAGAGCCGGAGCTCACAAGACGTCAGCTCAACGTAGCAAGGTGCCCATCGGCCCCAGAGACCCTCACGCTGCTCCATCTCTCCCTGCTTCATCACACTGCTACTGCTGCTTTTATCAGCTGGACAGAGACACACAACAGGAAGAAATGAGAAACAGATGATTCATGAACATGTGTTCATGAACATGTGTTCATGAATAGGTGTTTTACATAAAGAACTTCCCATTAACCAGACAGTTACAGGGCTTAAACAAGAAAATACAGTTTCATTTTGTTTGAAAACTTTTGTTCTTCTATCTCTAAAGCCTCTTCAACAGGAGTTTTCAAGAGCATTACAAAACTAAAATCCCATGTTTCTCTTTGACACTCCTTAGTGCTCATTAATCGGTCTTTGACACTGTAAAACTTCATTCAATGAATTCAGCAGAAACCAAGGAGGTTCTATAGAACAGCTGGAGCTCAGAAACCACCTGACCATGTGATCTGCTGGAGAAGCTAACGGCTAACGCTAAAC